GAACCTGCTTAGGAAAAGTGCCCAAGAACAGACGGACTTATGTACTGTTATTGAACAGCAGTTCTACCTGGGGAAATGCTAATTTATAAATGGTAATTTACCAAAGGACCAATGGGTGGTGGCTATGCTCGCAGTCCGGACTCAACCCCATGCCTATCAACTAAGGTGTTTTAACAGCTTAAAAGAATTCTGTGTTATTAGTGGTTGTGCCTGCCCCGCATTACGGAGCGAGCTGAGGAAATCTATAATTATACTGGAATATAGGGAACAGGTGAGAGATAAAGAAGAGAGAGCGTGATTTCATCACTAACCATTGCTACCCTACTTAGCCTAGGGGTGGGCGTGGGACAAAGGACCTGGCATAGCGCTCCCTGGCTACTCAACATAAAGGGAATTGTATTCAACTGAGCGCGCGAGCCATTAGGAGGAAGACCAGTATAGATGAGAAATAGAAACCTCAAATATAGCCCCTACCGAAAAACCCTCACGTTCCCTGGTCTTGAGGTTAGGTACTGTCAAAAGCCGACGAGGTCTGGACTTGTTGTTCGCTGCCAAAAAGGGGGACTATGCGTGTGCTCTAGGGGAAGAATGTTGTTTTTAACGCTGACATACCGGAAGTTGTTCGTGACTCCATGTCTAAACTCCGAAAGAGCCTGGAACAAGAAAACGAGAAAAAGAGGCAGGGGAAAGCTGGTTCGAGTCTTGGTTTAACCAGTCCCCATGGTTGGCTACCCTTTTATCTGCAACTGGCAGGGCAATAATAATCATCCTATTGCTTGTTACCAATAAGACCCGTGGATTCTAACCGACTTAATGACTTTTGTCAAAAGTCGAATTAATACTATCCAACTTCTGGTCTCCGCCAACATATCAGGCTCTTCATCCCTTGAGGATGATTCCTCAATTTAGGCCATAAGAAAGGGGGGAATGAAAGGACTATGAGGTCTCAGCGGGCCCAACCCTTGTTGGAGAAACCAGTACCAAACATCCATGTAGATAATAAGCAATGAGGAGGGTCTCTAGTGGAGGGCATATAGCAATGTGAGGAATGCAATGATGTGAGATACGAGCAAGATGTGAGATACGAGCAAGATGTGAGGTACGGAGCAAGATGTGAAGTACGTGCAGGATGTGCTCTGCCTGCTTGTCTAATGTTGATAACAAAAATATGCACGCCACTGCAGTCTATATAAGATTTCCCCCTAGAGGCTCAGGGTCCTTGCTTTCCTAACCGGTCCTGCGTGTCCGTGTGGGAGCTCGACGCTGCTAGCGCACCCTAATAATATCTCTGTCTCTATGCATTTCACAGCCGGCTCTCTGTCTCTCGGGGGAAATCAGGGATTCGGGTCCTAACGGTATGAGACAATCAAATATTCATGTTGTAAGCAAAAGGGTTTTTTACCTGAGAGGTAATAACCATGGAATTCCCAAAGCCTGTCTTACAACTGCAAAGGATTTACAATTGAAAAGGGCTCTGCAAAGATAAGGTTTTACAAATGAAAAGAAGTCAAACTGGGAAGGATAACATTGGGTTGAGAGAGGAGTTTAGCATGAAATGCCGCTGAAAAAGCCAATCAGTGCTAAAGTCCTCATGGTTATCTATATTTACTAGCCTGACTCAACCATTTTCTTTTCTTTCTTTCCAGTTTTTATTTGCATTACTCATTGTAAGAGAGGGATTCATTGTGACAATTCTGAATAACCTCACCTGTGCATTGGTTAGATCGCTCCCAGCATGTCCTGCCCTACCCTCTCTCAGCCCACTTAAGCATTTGCTAGAGGTTCCATCGTTTCTATTTCACATATGTATGTGAAGCCCATCAACCATGTCCCTCACCTTCATCTCCTGCTTTCATCCTCCCCTCTCCACAAGTACCTCCTCCACATTGTACTTGTTTTACAGTCCTGGTCTTTCATTATTAATTCTCAAAGTCAATGAATGGGTGTTTCAATTCACCCCTGCTGTGACTATAGTTTACTTTGTGTTGGAATTTCCGGTGCTGAAAACAGACACATGAGAGACAGAAAATCTTGACAAGGCAATTTCTTTTAATGAAAAGGATGTAAGCATGTGCTCACTCTAGCTGAGCAGACACGTGAGCACAAAATGGCTGACCCGTGCCTCCTTATATCCCTGACACAGTCATACCTGCCTCTAACCCAGGATTTGTCCAGGTCAAAGGTTCACAGTCTTTCCCGATTGGCTAAAAGGCTTGGGGAATGGGTTAGGGCATGCAGTTTGGCAGGCAATGGAGTTGTACAGGAATCCAGAAGAAGAAGCAAGGACCCTTTAAATATGCAGTCACCTAAGATGCAACCTGAGGAATTTTTAAATAATCTAAGAGGGTAACAAATACTTTGATAGAAAAGATCATTTTTCTTACGCTTTGGTCAGTTCAACCCCCTCAGTTACTCTTCCTTATCCCTTCCCTCCCATCCTCCCATTCAATAGCTTTCAGTACATATCATTATGTCCTTTATCTATGCAGATGTAATGTATTTTAATATTGTTGACTATCATTCTCTTTTTTTTTTCTGTTCATAGTGTAGTTCCCTATTATAAATATGTTCTACATGTAAATGTATATAAGATCATGTTTGTTTTTGTATATATGCTTTTTTTTTAGATCTATCTTTCACATATGAGAGAAAATATGTGGCCTTTGTCTTTCTGAACCTGGCTTACTTCACTTAACACAATGCCCTCAAATTCCATCCGTTTGCATTCAACCACATAGTTTCATTCTTCTTTATGGCTGAACAAAACTCAATTGTATATATATACATATGTATCACAAATTTCATAATCCATTTATCAGTTGCAAAGCATCTTGAGTATTTCCATGGCTTGGCTATTATGAATAGAGCTGCAATAAACATCAGTGTCAATTGTCTCTATTGTATCCTGATTTATGTTCTTCAGGTATATGCCCAAGAGTGGTATAACTGGATCATATGGCAGTTCTATTTTTAGTTTTTTAAGGAATCTCCATATCACTTTCCATAATGGTTGTAGTAATTTACATTCCTGCGAACAATGTATAAGGGTTCCTCTTTCGCTGCATCCTTACCAGCACGGCTATTGATTTTATTCTTGAAGATAGCCATTCTAACTGGGGTGAGATGAAATCTTAATGTAGTTTTAATTGCATTTCTTTTATGGCAAGAGAAGTTGAGCACTTCTTCATGTATCTGTTCCTTTGAAATTCCCTATTCACTTCATGTGCCCATTTCTTCATTGGGATATTGATTCTTTGGGGGTTGAGTTTTTTTAAGTTCCCTGTAGATTCTGGATATTAGTCCCTTATTGGATGAATAGTTGGCAAAGATTTCTCCCATTCTGTGGGTTGTCTCTTGAGTCTAATGACTGATTCTTTTGCTGTAAAGAAGCTTTTTAGTTTGAAACAGTCCCTTTCTCTTAATTGCTGAGACATTAAAGTTCTATTGAGAAAGTCATGCCAATGCCTATATGTTCAATGTATTTCCCTATGCCTCTTGTAGTTGTTTCAAAGTTTCAGGCCTATATCAATGTCTTGATCCACTTTGAGTAGATATTGGTACAAGATGAAAGAGATCTAGTTTCAGTCTTCTACATGTGGATATCCAGTTTTCTTAGCAACACTTATTGAAGAGGCTGTCTTTTTTCCATCATGTGTTTTGGGCTCCTGTGTCAAAAATTAGTTGGCTGTAGCTGCATGGATTTATGTCTGGGTCTTCTATTCCATTGGCCTTTTTGTCTATTTTTGTACCAATACTATGTTGTTTTTATTGTCATGTCTCTGTAGTATAGTTTGAATCAAGGACTGATACTTCCAGCATGGGACTTTTTGTTCAGAATTGCTTTGGATATTCGAGGTCTTTTGTGTTTCCATATGAACTTTAGGATTGATTTTTCTATGTCTATGATGAATGTTCTTAGAATTTTGATAGGGATTGTGTTGAATATGTAGATTGCTTTTGGTAGTATATCCATTTTCACAATATTGATTCTGATCTACAAGTATGGGAGATCTTTCCATCTTCTGTTGTCTTTGATTTCTCCCTTCAGTGATTAATAGTTTTCATTAAAAAGGTCTTTGATTTCCTTCATTAAATTTATTCCTTGGCATTTTTTTTTGAGGCTGCTGTAAATGGAACTCTTTCCTTGATTTCATTCTCAGTATGTTCATTGTTGGTGTGTTCAAAACTACTTATTTCTATACAATAATTTTGGATCCTACTACTTTGCCAAAAGTGTTTAAGATTTCTAAGAGTTTTTTGGTGAAGGTTTAGCATCTTTTAGGTATAAGATCATATCACCTGCAAATAGGGATAACTTGATCTCTTCATTCCCTATTTGAATCCCTTTTATTTCTTGCTTCTACCTTATTGCTCTGACTAGGAATTTTAAAACTATATTGAATGAGAGTGGGGACAGTGGATGCCCTTGTCTTATTCCTTACTTTAGTGGAAATGGTTTCAGTTGTTTTCCATTTAGTATAATGTTGGCTATAGGTTTGTTGTATATGACCTTTAATATGTTGAGTTACATTCCTTCTATTCCTCATCAGTGATTTCAATGTGAAAAGGTGTTGAATTTTGTCAAAGGCTTTTTCTGCATC